ATCATAGTTTCTAGAGTCAGAGGGACCTTTGTCTCTATTTTTTATTTCTTTGGGGTATCATATGCTCAGTAGTCATATTGTCATCGGTAGATCAAAGGATGTATTCCACATTCTAGTCACTGCTTTACCATAATTCCAAATTGCTTTCTAGAATGGTTGAAGTAATTCAATTCTACTACTGGTTTATTGGTGTGCTTCTCTTCTCCCAGCTCCTCAAACATTTAATATTCTTTCATCATCTTTGTCAATATGATGGTATTAGTGATTTGATGCATTTTCTTATTGTTGTTCATTGTTTGAATTTCTCTTTTGAAAAACACCTGCTTGTATGCTTTCTCCAATAATCTATTAGGGAATGAATTGTGTTCTTATGTATTTGTATCAGTTCCCCATATATTTTGGATATCTGATCTTTAATGGAGATATTTGCTGGAAAGTTTTTTCCCCCTCAACTACTAGCTTCTCTTCTAATTTTAGCTATTTTGCTCATGCAAAAACCTTCTAATTTAATCTTATTGAAATTGTCCATTCTATTCACTATGATTACCTCTACAACTCATGTAATTAAGAATTTCTCCCTTGTCATAATTGAGCTAGGTATCTCATTCTGTTTTCCTTTATTTTTTTTAAATATGTCCTTTTATATTTAGATCACATATCCATTAACAGCTTATTGTGGTTTATAATAAAAGGTGTTGATTTATACTTAATTTCTATGAAACTGCCTTCTATTTTCCCAGAAGTTCTTGAAAATTAGGTAGTCCTTACCCTAGTACATGATATCTTTGGGTTTATTGAACATTAGTCTACCATGTTTGATTAAGTCTGAGTCTTGCTTATTTACTCTATTCCAAGGATTAGCTTTATTTGTACTTATTGATATAATCATGTTTTTATTGATTTTATTATTAATGTTATCTATAACCATCACTGCATTGGTTTAGATTAGCATCTTATACCATTTACTACAGTAAATTCTAAGTGAATAGCTAACAAATATTGAAGATCACATCATTAAGAAAAGGGAAGAAATGGATGGAAGAATTTTTCCCAACCATGGTTAGGAAGAGAATTCTTAATATAACTAGGGATAAAGGAGATCACAAAAGAAATATGGTTGATTTATGACTGAATTGATTTTTTTCCTCTATAAGAAAACTGAAAATCCTGAAATATAATGAACAAAATTTCAAGGAATTTTTTTGTTGTTGTTTCAGAAATAGTAAATATTCTCATTTAACTTGGTCAACTGCTAAAAAAGACAAAATATGTCAGTCTTAGAAGTTCGTTCAAAATTAAGATAGTCACAGAAAATATGGTGATATCCCTGAGAACCTCACTTTTATTTTCTTTAGTCCAAAGATTTATGGAACTCCTTTGCTTATAAACTGATTGTTTATCCTAGCACTGATATTTGCTTCTGCAAAATGGTAAGCAGATCAAATTTATGTTCTGTAGAAGGGAAATAGGAGAGACTAGTATGGTCCTGTGCACCCATAGAAACTGTAAATCTTGCTAAGTCCCATTAAAATCCATGTGAAAATGTTTTGCTATCTCATAGTGGCAATTATATATATGGTATCAATAATGTATTTAACACACTTCTGTAATTTAAAATGTGTTTCTGGACTTTGGAACAAGTCTTGGCTTTGCTAATTTGCCAATGTCACCCTGAGCTGTTTTATCTACAACTTCAACCAAAAGGTGCTCAGTTAGTCAACAAGCATTTATTAAGTGCCTATGTTCCAAGCACTGTGCTAAGTACTAGGGACACCAAAACAATAACAACAAACAAACAAAGCAAAACAATCCTGCTCTCAAGGAGTTTACAATCTAGTAGGGAAGATAACATGCAAACAACTACTTGCAAACATGATAAATACTGGAATAAATTGGAGATAATCAACAGAAGGAAGTCACTAATATTTAGTGGGATCAGGAAAGGCTTCTTGTAGAAGGTGAGATTTTAATTGAGACTTTAAGGAAGTCAGGGAAGCCAAGAGATGGAGATGAAGAGGGAAGGAATTCCAGGTATGGAGGACAGCCAGTGAAATTGCATAGTCAGGAAATGGAGTATCTTGTGGAAGGAACAGCAAGGAGGCTAGTGTTATTAAACTGCATTGTATGTGGTATGGAGTAAGGTGTAAGAAGTCTGGAAAGATAGAAGGGAAGCAAATTATGACAGACTTTGAATTACATGAATATTTTATATTTGATCCTGGAGGAAATAGGGAGCTACTAGAATTCATTGAATAAGTAGATATCATGGTCAAAAATGCCCTTTAGACAGATTAATTTAATAACTGAGAGGAAGATGGACTGGAAAGGGGAAAAACTTGAGTCAGATAAACAATTCAACAAGTTCTTGCTATAGTCCAGGCCTGAGGTGATGAGGGCTTTACCAGAATGGTGGCGGTGACGCAGGAGAGAAAATGGGACATCTAAGAGATATAACAGAAGCAGAATTGACAAGACTTGACAACAATATGGGGGGAAGAGTGAAAGTGAGGATTGAGGATTACATCTAGATTGTGAGCCTGGGTGACTGGGAGGATGATGGCACTCATACAATAACATGAAAGTTCAGAAGAGGGGAGGGCTTGGGGAAAGATAGTGAGTTCGGTTTTGGACATGTTGAGTTGAAGATGTCTATGAGACATTCAGTTCAAGATGTTCAATAGTCAGTTGGAGATGAGAAATTGGAAGTTAGGAGAGAGGTCAGGGTTGGATTAGTAGATCTGAGAATCATCAGCATAGAGATGATAATTGAATTCATGCGAGTTGTTGAGATCACCAAGAAAAATAGTACATACAGAGAAGAAGAGAGGCCCTAATCCAGAACCTTGTGGAATATCTATTAGTGAGCATTGTTTCAATAAAGATACAGCAAAGGAGAGTGAAGAGGAGTAGTCAGAGAGGCAGGAGGAGAACCAGGAGAGAGTAGTTTCATGAAAACCTAGAAAGGAGGGAGAATCAAGAAGAGAGTGATTGACAGCATGAAAAGCTGCAGAGAAGTAAAAAAGGAGGAGGAGTGAGAAAAGGCCGCTAGATTTGGTAATTAAGAGATTAGTGCTTTTGTTGAAGGAGATCAGATTTTTACTTGGTGAGAACTTGCCTTAAATTCAACATGCCCCCAGAGCATTATGTTTGGAGTTAGATGAAACCTAGATTGAGATCTTGTCCCTGCATTTTATTAACTGCATGACCCTGGGAAATTCACAAACTGAGCTTCAATTCCTTCTTGCAAAATGTGGGTGCTGATAGCTGCTCTGAGTTATTGTGAGGAAAATATTTTATAAACCTTAAAGTAATATAGATATGTGATAGGTTATTTCCCTCTAAACTTGCTCCCTTCTCTGACTTTACTCTTTCTTCCACATTCAGTTTCCAATTCTTGTTAGGTCTATACTCCCAACATCTTTTTGATTTCTCATTCTCTCTAATCATTCAGCTACTACCCTAGTTAAGCCTGTTGGAGTGTGCTGGAGGAGCTAGCACTAGCTGTCCCCCACACCTAGAACATACTACCTTTTCAACTCTGTCCCTTGGAATCCCTAGTTTCCTTCAAAGTTCAGCTCATGCTCACTACATGAAGCCTCTCCTGACACATGCAGACAATGGTGCATTTGCATCACAAAATTACCTTGTATTTATTTTGGGTATAGAATTTTATTTGCTATCTCATATGCTTACTGTTCTTATTCATGTATAGAAAGGCTAGTGATTTTTTGTGGTTTTATTTTATATTAGCTACTGTACTGAATGTATTAATTGTTTTGATTAGTTTAGTTAAATAATCTTCTTTAAGTAAAGTATCAAGTAATTTTAAAATATGTATAATTTTATTTCTTTTTGACCTATAATTATGTCCCCAATTTCTTTATCTTTTCTTATTGCAGTAGCTTACATTTCTAGAATTATATCAAATAATAGTGATGAAAGTCAAGGATATCCTTGCTTTATCTCTGCTCTTATTGGAAAGACTTCTACTGTTTCTATACTGTAGATAATGTTAAATCCCAGCCTAAGTTAGATACTCTTTATCATACCAAGGACAGGTTCATTTAGTCCTATTATTTTTGTGTTTTTACATAAATGTGTTGTATTTTTCCAAAAGCTTTTTCTGCATCAGTTGATGTAACCTTGTGATTTTTTAAATTATTTTTGCTGTTAATATGAATTATTATGTTTATTGTTTTCCTAACATTGAACCAACCTTGTATTCATGGAATAAGTCCAACTGAGCAACTTGTATAATCTTTTAAATATGTTACTACAAACTTTTTGCTAGTATTCAATATTTTTGCATTGATATTTGTTAGATATACTGGTCTATACTTTTCTTTCTCTACTTTATTTCCTCCCTGGTTTGAGTATCAAAAATATATCACAAGCGTTTTATGGGATTCTGTCTCTGTATTTTGCAAACAATTTATGAAATTTTTGAATTATTTTATTTTTAAATGTTTTATAAAATTTATTTTCAAATTCATCTGGGCCTGGGGTTTTTTCTTTGGGAGTTCATTTATGACTTATTCACTTTTCCCCCAATAAACTGTATTATTTAAAATTTATATTTCCTGGTCTGCAAATTTGAGTATTTTTATTTCTTTGTTAGTATTCAGCTATTTCACTTAAGTTACCAGTTTTGTTGGCATACACTTAGGTAAAGTTTCTAATGATTTCCTTTACTTTCTCTTCATCCACCACAAATTTTGCTTTTTCATTTTAATCATTTGGTTTTCTTTTTTTTTAACTGAAAATTTGCCAAATTTATTTCATTAGTTTTCAAAAATCAGTTCTTAGTTTTAGTTTTTTTAAATTTTATTTCTCTTTAATTTTCAAAATGTCTATTTTGGATTTTTTATTGCTTTTGTAGCTTTTTAAAAAATATTGCATGCCCAATTTTTTCATGTGTTCTTTTTCTCTTTTATTGATGAAAGTGTTTAGAGACATAAATTTCACGCAAAGGACTGCTTTGGCTGTAGCCTAAAAGATTAAATAATTTGAAATATTTCATGAATTTGCATGTCACCTTTTCCCAGGGACTAAGCTAATCTTTTTTGCTTTGTTACAGTTCTTATATATACTGCCAAAATGAGTACCCCTGGTCTTTTTCCAGAACTCTAGTCCCATGACCTTAACTATCTATCGAGCATCTCAACTTAGCTGTGTGATCACCCAAATGGAATTTATCCTCTACCTCCCCTAAAAGTCCTACTTCTTAAAACTTCTCTTTTCTACTGGGGCCATGATAATCCTCCAAGTCACCTAAGTTTGTTATGTTGGAACCACTCTCTACTCTTTTTTTTCTCAAACTATCATAAGTAGTCAGTTTCCAAGTCAATTCCACATTCATTTCCCTGACATCTGTACCTTTCACTCCACTTATACAACCATCACCTTAACTAAGGCCCTTATTCTCTCTTGGCATTATATATTGTAATAGACCCTTAAATGGTCTCCCTGCTTCCAGGTTCTTCACTCTTTCATTCATCCTTTACACAGCCTCCAAAATAATCTTCTTAAGGTACAGGCTTTGCTATATGACTCCTCTACTCAAAATCCTTCAGTGGGCCCCTATTATTTCTAGAAAAAAATAAAAATTCCTTAGTCTGATATTCAAAGCTGTCTACTCTCTTGCTCCAATTTACCTAGCCTTATTTTATATTATTCTCCTTCATATATATTACATTCCACTCTAACTGAGCTACTAGTTATTTATAGGATTATAGATTTAGAGCAGGAAAAGACGTTGGAGGTCATCTCTAACACTTTCATTTTATATGTGAAGAAACTGAAACCTAGAAAAGTCAAGTGAGTTGTCTAGAGTCATATAACTAGTAAGTATGTGAAATACCATTTGAACCCAGGTCTTCCTGACCCCAGGGCAGAGCTCTCACCACTATACCACATCATCTCCCATGGGGTCACCCATCAGCTTTTTATTTTCTACCTTTTTGCATTCATGGAAACAAGCCCCATGTTTAGAATCCATTTGTGAAATGCACTTGCATCTAGATTTGGAATCAATGAGATCTGAGATTGAATTTTGTCTCAGATTAACACTATTTGCATGACCTTGAACATGTAACTTAACATCACTGAATCTCAGTTTCCTTATTTGTAAAATAGAGGGAGTCAGTTCCTCATTACTTGCTCTTACAGCCTACAAAGTGGGCAGCTCTTCCTGACACAGTAGCAAATCATCAACATAACCCCTATCATAGAGAACAAGGGACCAACCAGGAATTCTATGTCCTAAATATATTTTGCTTTTTGGTGAGGCAATCGGGGTTAAGTGACTTCCTCAGGGTCACACAGTTAGTAAGTGCCAAGTGTCCGAGGCCAGATTAGAACTCAGGTCCTCCTATTTTCAAGGCTGGAGCTCTATCCACTGCACCACCTATTTGCCCCCATAAATATATTTTGACAAGAGGCTAGAGCATAAGACCTACAGAAATGGGTAAAAGCACGTCTGTTTCCATTGGAAGTGCTTCTATCCACCCCAGGCAAACAAAAGTTTGCAAAGCACTTTACAAAAATGATCACTTTTGTGCTTTACATAATAACTCTCTGAGGTAGGAATTATTATTATTGTCCCCAGTAGGGGTTGTGGGTGGAGATTTCTGGAGAAATAGAATTTCATAATTACTGTGCTTTGTTTCCTCTGTGTCTCCCTTGCTTTTTTCCCTATATTCCTATCCCCCCCATTCTGTGTTGACCTGGTCATTCCCTTCTGTGTATGGAATTCTATATAGGATTCTGTACATAGAATACCCTTTGTCTTGGAGGAATTTTACTATCACTAAACCTTTTCTTTGGCCCTGGCTCCCCTCCTCCACACTGACAGTGGTCCCATGTATTTCATTAGCTCTGCACCTGTCCTTGATTCTGTTTCCTCTGTTTACCTCTTAACTATTATGTCACCACAAATCACAGATTAACCCTTGCTGTCCTGGCTGCTGTTGCTCAGAGTTGACACTTGTCAAAGAAAAGATTGCACAACTTCCTCTAACTATTGTCTTCCTAGTTGAGGCCAGGTTGCCATATCTGATCTTCACATCTCAGAGAAGTGGGACAATTTCCCCTCTGGAGTAAACAAGACCATCCTACCTTAAGCCAATCATCATTTTAAGACCCTAGAGCTTACTAGAAGGGGCCATACCTGTCAGCAAGGGATTCTAGTAGCACCTTAATCCTTAGCAACCTATAGCAGAGAATAATAGTAACAGCTAACATTTACATCTAATTCTGCCTGTTTGTGCAGGTTCATTCTTCATAGCTCATTATTCATGAGCATCTGTTCATGACTTAAAAACCCTAAAGGGAAAATTGGTCCTGACATTTTCATTTTCTGAAATTTTCTTACACTTGGAGTCGATTTCGTTTTGGAAGATGGTTGATGGAAAGAGAAGGATAAAGGGAAGGATGGTTTAATTTCCTTGATGATCCAAAAGGCTTTCTTGGTGAATCAACCTTCCTTTGTGTACATCTGATGAACATTCACAGAACATGTTAGCAGGACCAAATATTTGTAGGAAACTTTCATTCATCTTAGGAAATACATATATATGTATATATATATGTATGTATGTATATATACATGTGTGTGTATACACACGCATACACACACACACACACACACATATATATATATATAGTCTCTCCACCCATACAAAGGGAGAGAATAAGCATTTATATTGCACCTACTATGTACTTGGTACTATGTTAAGCACTTTACAAATATCATCTAATTTGAGGGCATTGTTCCTTCTTTCAGTAGGCAGAACTTCAGGTGACATAGGTATTTGTTAAAAGTTTTAAAATAGTCTGTGACATTCATTGTCAATGCCAGCTGCTTAGGAGGAAGAAGTTGTATGGGAAATAAGTGAGGGAAGTATTTATATACTGCCTACTCTATGCCAGACACTGTGTTAAGCACTTTTTACAAATATTATTTTCACAACAACCTTGTGAGATATGTGCTATTATTATTATCCCCATTTCACAGTTGAGAAAACTAAGGCAAACAGAAATTTAATGACTTGCCCAGGGCCACACATCTAGTAAGTATCTGAGGCTCGATTTGAACTCAGGTCTCTCTGACTCCAAGCCTAGCACTTTATCCACTATGTCACCAGCTGCCTTTAAATAATAAGTCTGTCTAAATAGCACCAAGAGGCATTTATCTGGTTTAGGGTCCTGAAATAATATTTTATTACTTTAAAAATGAGATGGCATGGCCTAGTGAATAGAGGGCCAGAGGTTCTGGGTTCAAGTCTTATCTCTGACACCTATTGGCTTTGTGAAACTGGGAAAAATCACTTGACTTTTCAGTGTCCCAGGCAGTTAAGACTGTAAATTGCTGAGAAGGTGGTGACCTGTATTGATAGATGGATTTTCTTCATGTGTGAGTTTCCTATAACAATGATATTACAGGTCTAGACTCTTTCCTCTGCTTTAAAAATAAATTTGTCCTACTTAACTGAAGTTATGAAGTCTATTTACATTTCTTTAAAACTTGGATCAAGAAGCTTAATGTGATTTCAATGATTATTTACGGGCAAAGAGAAGCTAGTACAAAGGCAGGCTGAGTTCATTTTCTCTAATCTTACCCCCTTTTACTTTAGGTTTTACTATTTAATTGGTGACAAAGACAAATGGGGCATGGGAATGATAAAGATGGAATAAGAAATTGTCTTTTCTCTTTTAGCAAACTGGCTAATTTGCAGTTTAAATCTTATAACAGTCACATTGTTTGGATAACATCTGCATTTTATAACACACTTTGTGACAGCTACTTATGTCATTATCTGTTGTGTATTTTATAATATGCTCTCTGCCGAGTTCTTCAGCAATACTAGTCCAGAGAAGGGCATCCAGAATAATTAGATTTATTTCTGGGGCCTCTATCTGAGAAGAGATTGGAAAGACTAGGACTGTTTAGTTTGGCAAAGGAAAGAGTAGCAGGGGATATGATAGGTACATTATATAAAATGATGAATGAAGAAAGAGAAGGCTTTTCAGGCCCCTCATTTGCCATTACAACAGACATTTAACAAACTCCTAGATTCCCACCCTAAGCATGGAGTTAACCCATGTGGGCAGGTCATTGCTGTAGGTTGGGATGGAGGTGAATAGCATTACTGCTACTACTACTACTACTACTACAACTGCTACTACGACTACTATTACACCACTACTACTACTACTAGTATTATAATAATATCTAACTTTTATGTGGTGCTTTAAGATTTATAGGGCTCTTTTCATTTATTTTTTAATTTGATTCTCTTATTTTTCTGCTGATCCACTATTGATGGTAAACTTCTAGGTAGATATATTTACATGAAATAGCACCTATGGTTACATTAGCAAGGATCAGTTGACCAGGGCTATCAATCCTACTTTAGGGCACTGTGACAAGGTTGGCTATGCTTTCTGCTTCCCCAGGGAGGGGGCCCCAGACGGCTTGGCACCAGGCCCCTCTAAGGGGAGTCTGAGTTTCCAACAGCCTTCTCTCCTCAGAAGTCAGGGATATGTGAATCCAGCCATAAAGTGGAAATGAAACAGGGTCGGGGAGAGAAGTGTGAACTATGGAGGGTCATTATGAATGCAGGAGAAGACCAAAAAAGTTATTTTAGGGGGTGAAGATGAGGTGGTCAGTCCTGAAAAGAGGAAAACTTAGTAAAACTTAGCAAGTTTTGTGTGTTCCCTGGGCACTTGATGCATTCTTGAAAGTGGAGGGAAGGTATGGTACCTAAATGCTGTAAGTATGCAAATGTACTGCTGAAAAAGAAAGACATAAAATCTGACAGCTAATGTTACAAATTAGACCCAGACTCTAAATAAACCTAGGTATTGCTCAGTTCTCCTATCGACTCTAGCAAGTCTGGGACCTTCTTTCAGAGTGGATTTCTCCTCCCATAGAGAGAAGACCACCATCCTTGCCCTGTACCTCCCAGGGGGTAGGGGTTGGGGGGCATGTTGTATGGATCAATAAGTTAATGTCTGAAAGGCACTCAAGTCCTTCAACAAAAGAGAGGCTCCCTTGGGGCACTTTTGCTGTAAACAATCAAAAGCTGACCCACTGGGGTGGG